GTCTCCTAGTCCTCGTCGCCTTAGGACTCGCGTGTCCGTATCGCACGCGCGCGCCCATGCGCGCGCCCAGCATTGCCGCCATTCCTCTTGCGCGTGCCTGCCAGCGCACCTTCCCTATGCCTACCGCGCCTAGGTAAGCACCCGTGCATACCGCCCACTCGCGCGCCCCCGCACGCTTGGCGTTCCTTCCCGCGGCTTCGCGCGCGTCCCATCCTCCCACGCATGTGTTACGCACGCCTGATCCTGCCGCGCCAACCTCGCGCCTTCCTGCCTGCTTGCGCGTGTCCCAGCCACGGCCCAGGCCCGTATCGCCTACGGCGCCCCCGCGTACACCCCGCCAACCCGGCATGCGCGGCTTGTTCACCCATACGTGCGCATCAAGTGTCGATGCGCACCTTATGCCTTGTCGCTCCTTACCAGACTCTCCGGACTCCAAAGCCACTTCCGTATCATTCCCCTCCTCTTCAAGACTTTCCTTGTCCCCAAGGATTAGAAAATTCAGCTTCCCCTCTCGACCATCCCTGTCTTCTTCATCAGGTGACTCGCTTGGATCCTCAGTCCTCAACTTGACCCTCTTGCTTGATCTCCCAAACTCCATCGTTCCTTTCCAATAATCCGTTGTGATTGGACCAAGAGTTTCCAACCACTGGCATCCAAGCACTATATCAGTCGCCTTTAATGGCAAGGCATAGAGATCTACTCTCATCCTCTGGCCTTGAGCTTTCAACTTAACACCCTTGAATAGAATATCCCCTCGTAGTGTTTCCCCATTAGCAACCTTGACTCCAAAAGGTTTCACTTTGGTGAGTGGGATCTCGATTTCCTTGGACAACTCCTCATCAATGAAGTTTAGCGTAGATCCGCTGTCGACCAACACCTCCACCAATTTTTCTCCCACTTCAGCCGTGAATGTAATCATCTTCGGCCCACGCTTCTTACTCTTAACCATGTGTAATAAGGACTCCTCTCTTGGTTCTTCCTCTCCCTCAAATTCTAACAAAAAGACCTCCTTACCCTTGCACCTATGGCCTGGTGTAAATTTTTCGTTGCACGAATAGCAAAGCCCTTTTTCTCGCCGTCGTTGCATATCCTCGTCGGTAAGCCGTCGTATGTTGCTCGTCGTTCGAACAATTTCGCCCATCGGCTTGCTTTCGGTTCGTGTTGGCTGTTCCTCGGTCGCGACGTGTGCGCGCTTGGTCTCCGTGCGTATGTCGCTTGGTTTCGCCTTGCGCACCGCCACAAGATGGTCTTCGTGCAGCCTGGCTGATTCTATAGCCACTTGCATCGATCCTGGCCTGTCCAATCTTACCTCGGCTGCCAGCTCAGCCTTTAGTCCCCCAACAAACGTTCCTACCAACGCAGCCTCGGGCCAATCTCGTACC